TTGAAATGCTTTTATTCTGTACTTCTTTTTTCCACATTGTGGAGTCCGTTCTTCTACTCTCCTACCTGCAACAGAAGGTAACATACAAATTATTTAATGTACTAAACCAGGGGTCATTCTTCACAGCACCTGTTCCTGCCACTGAAGGGTCTCTGGAGTGCAGTTCATATGTGTTGCTGTTATTAAGGTGCTACTGTATGTACTCACCAAATCAGCCTCACTGCAGGGTTTCAAACACAAGGAATCTAGCACCCCCTACTGAACAGAAGAATCCTCAAGCATGTCTATTCATTTCATTTATTATAAATTCACTGATGCTTTGAAGGCTGCTCTGAATCTGATCAATATCATTCAGGTTTAATCATTATGACTACTTTAATCATATGTAGCTAACTCCCTAGGCACATATATATTTAAAAGTGTGCTGTTAATAAGAAAAAAGAACCAACAGGTATTTTAACGTGTATTTTTCTAAAGTAGTATAAAATATGTAATCTTTGTAATCTATATGTAATTATTTTTCAATATCACTTCAGAGAGATGAGTTCTCTTTGAAGAAAGGTAAAGTACAAAGTAAATTGGTTATTCACCGTATTATATATCATATGATATAGTATATGTTTTTATAAAGGCATATGCATGAAAGAGAAGTTAAGTTCAGCAGACAAGCAAAGCAGACTGATTTCCATCTACCAGTTTCTGCTTTTATTATATTAGCCAGGGAATGTTTCTGGCCGTGTTCTAACATAGTGAGCACATAAACGCAAGTCATCAGTCACCAGGTGCTGAACAAACTGTCTTTGAAACGCATTCTGTTGTTCCATTTGGATATAAGATTGGTGGGACTCAAGATGTTCAAGTGATTTCTGAATGACAATCATACACCCCATTTTGGTAGTAAAAAGCTCCATGTCAGATCAGAGTTATATGTATTATATATGTTATATGTATATGTATCAAGCAGACTTGCTGTAACTATGATGTAAAATAAAATAGTTTGTATCCACCGAATCCAGACATACAATATCGTGCTGATAAGACAGATGAAAGAAGAGTCACTTAGGAGTCTCACGTCAAGGTCTCAGTTTTCAGCATAAAATAGCATCTCCTGGAACAGTGCTTTCTAGGTTTTAGAGATCCACAAGTGCTGAGCTATATTTTTACCTTTTCTTCAAAGCTTTTATAAATGTATGGTAGAAGAATGAACATAATGGTTAATTTTATAAAGAATAAATCCCATAGCCGTTTTAGACTGTGTGAAAAAATTAATTGCTCTTATAAGGCACTGAAGAGTTCAATATTTACAGATACTAGCAAACTGAAAAAAGAAATCAGTCTATAGATCATCACAAATGGATTTAACAAAACAGGAAGCATAGACTATATTATATCATACATAATATGTTGCTTTCTTGATCACTGTAAATGGGCTATCAATGTGCCAATTAGGGCAGTTAAGAATAATATTCCTTAGACTTTTAGTCTAAGACTTAGACATTTAGACATTTCAAAAATGACCTTGAATTCTGTGAACCTTTTTTTCTAATCCCATAAAACGTGGTATTACAAGTCAGGTTGTGAAATAATTAGCAGGATAATTAACAAAAAATGAATTTCTCTGTTACTCAACAGGGGGATTTACGTTGTAAATACTTCTAATCTTGAGTTGCACAAAAGCACTATCTGCACTGCCTGCAGAATGTTTTTTTTTCTACAGTCTTTACTCAATAACTGAACCTTAGCTGCAAGATGGAAATTGCATTATCAGTAATAGTGACAAGATGAAAAATTATGCAGTGATTCAGTGGAGAACAGTATCTCCAACAAAATAATCTCACTTTTTATCACTGCATTTCACACTGACCTATTTTATGGCCAGGGATGGTGCTGGGGGCTTGTAAATTATTTGTTTTCTGTGTATTTCCAAAAACTCCTCTGAGCCAAGAAGAGAAAGGGTTCTGAACTTATATTTCATTCTCCTTTATCTGTGTCTAGGCTAAGTGTTGCTGGCAAAGACTAGCTGTTCAACTGCTGCTGTGCTCCTTCATATCAAATCAGGACGTAGAGAATGCAGACTTCGCTTTCTGGCCAGATGGCTTCATCTGCCAAGAACAAGTGCATATAAACATGTATGGATGTGTTCTTATCACAGCTTGAAACTAATGATTCAGTGAACACAACAAATTTGGCTATTATTAAATGCACAAAGCTAATGGACTGCATTTACCTATTCATGTGCAATTGGACCAAGCTCTTGCCAATTATTTATAAAACTATACATACCATTATATATATATACAGTATATACAATTTTTTAAAGATTTTTTTAAGTTCTGGTATAGTTTTCTAAAAATCTATACTAGTCTAAAAATCTATACCATCTTTGCTGCAACTTGTGTAGATGTTAACTGTTCACAATTGATATTGTGATAATTTCATATTGATCATGCTGGATTCACTTTTAGTTCATTTCTTTACTTTAGTTCATTATCTTTATCTCCGGGATTTTAGCATTTCCGTTGTCTAGCTATTATTGTATGTTGTTTTTTTAGAATATCTATATTCTTATTTACTGCTGCTTAGCAATAAGAAGCTTAAGCAATATATAACACACTTCCAACTCTATAAAGTAGAAGAACGTAATCGAATAGACATCAGACAGGTTTCTGTATCCATGTGAACCTGAAGTCTAATATCCGTGATACTGTTTGTTGCTTAGTGATTCAGCTACTCGCTGGCACAGTTATTGCATGAGTGCCTTACCTTCATTTGAGCAGCAAATGCTGCAGTGCTTTCGTTAATTCAAACTTTGCAAGCTGGAGCAATTTTATTGGAAGAAATCCAGCCAAGACCTTTTCTTTAAAAAAAAGTGCTCTCGTACTTCTATTTTTCTGCACTGGCATGTGTTCTGCAAAGATTGTCATAGATCCTTTCCTTTGTAGATTTTACATTTTTATCTGTTAACTACAGGATGCCCAAAAACCTGCTCCTGGGAAGCTGGATAAATGCAGGATTTCTAGGGCTCTAAATCCTTCAGCTACTTTAGACTTGAAAAGTCTATTGGTAAATAATTTGTGGAATTACAGAACAAAAAACAAAAGGTATCATGGTCCTCAAGGACAAGATTTACTGAAATGGTTATGTGTACCATTTCATATCTAGGTCGGACATTATTGGAATGCATAACGGTATGCCGTTATTATTCAATCAAAAATCCTTGGGGCTCTGGTTTTCTCAGAAGAAAGTACTAGTGAATTATTTTTCCCTTTGTCCTGCTAAACAAATATCCATATTCATCAACGACAGGAGTGATTTTTTGGAAGGTACTGTAGAAGGTCAAACATACCAGAAGTAGTTAACCCTTCTGTAATTATCAGGGTGGGGATGGAAGGTGAAGGAGTTCATGGACCAGAGGTTTATCACCTAGCTAATGGGCCATGACCCTTTGAAGCCAGTTATTTGTCTATTTTAGAAAATATCCTTATCTGATAGCAGTCCACTATTGAGACTGGGCTCCTGCCACAAGCTACAAAAGGACTCCAGTCTAATTATTTCTGAAGCAAAGTGGAGATCACCTGATTAGTTTCACCAGTCCCCGGTTGTTTAATTTGTCTGCCGTGGCCCACACTGTGTGATTCCACAATCTTTCAGGTGCTGTTTCCTAACTTCTATGGGCTCTTCATAAACACTACTACAGTTATGATGAGGGAGAAAAATACTTGTCTAGACCTATTCATATTCAATCCTTTGTATTATTGTTGTTACGGGATTCAGAAAATGCTCTTATCATGATATTGCGAGATAAGGAAATTTTTCAAATTTGTCACAAAACAACGTTTCTCATAGCTAAGTTTTAAAAGACTTAAAGACTTTTAAGCTCATTTTTTTGTTGTGTGTGCATTATGGTGGTTTTTAAAATAAAAATAAAATGCAAAGACATCAGGGGAACAATTGTATTCTGCTGATGTACATTTTAAAAAATCCTGGATTTGAAACACCAAAATGTCCAAACACATTTTTAAGGCAACGGTTTCAGACTAATTCTTCAGTGAAAACAGAACCCTCAATATCTGGTAACAAGAGGTGCTGTTGCAAATAGTCAAATTAAAATTAATGCAATTAAGGTTTAAACAGCTCAGGCCATACAGAAAAGCCAAAAGTGTTGAATGATTCCTTACTGTATTTTAAGTGAGTGTATAAAAAGACTAATTCTTTGTTTAGGTAATGCATCGATAGAACATAAAATATGATGCTTTTAACACTTCCCAGTAATGGAAAATCCAAACAAAGTACTGAGTAGTGGAGGTAACTAGAAAAATAGAAACAAAATACAAGCTCTAGTGTTCATTGTCATAGAAACATAATATAGACTTGTTAGCAAATGTATCTGTCAGCAACAATGTCAGGTGGTTGTTTGTTCAGTGGTGTGTTGTGGTGCTGTTGAGGCATGTCAGGGAAAATTAATCTTATCACCCATTACAGATATCAGATTGAAACATGGATAAAGGCTGTCATGGATACCAAAGTCTATCTTTATTCAGATTGACATACTGTTGAATGGTTCTCTGTATCTCCTTGATACCTCCATATTAGGTCTTATGTCATTTCCAGAACCCCCTGCGGGTGAAGGCATCGATTGTAATAGGTCTTCCTTTTCTAAACTCAGCACCTGTTAGCCATGGCACTGTCATTTCACTCTGCTGCTCAGCAGACTCTTTGTGATGATGCTTCCTGAAAGTGTTCACTCCTAAGCGGCCAGAAGTGATAAAATTGTTTCCATAGTAACAGCTGCTCCGAGGCAGAATCCTGAGAAACTAGGATGGCCAGAATGGTGTTTGGTAAAATGAAAAGACAGTTTAAAGCTAAAAGCTAATTCTTTATGATCTGTTTCTCTGTCTTTAAGATGAAATATCGAAGCAAAAGCTGATCAATCGTGTTTTATGTTCGTACAATGTTTAATTAACATGAATGGTATGTAGTTGCATAATAACAACAGTCTTTGTTTAAATGTTTTTGCTCTTTGCTCTTTTCTTCTTCTCTCTCAGCTGCTTCCCTCTTTCCACCTTCTTGCAGCATCTGCACAGCACTGAGGGGTTCTGGGGGTTTTCAGCCTGAAAGAGACAAACAAGAACTGGGATCAGGGCAAACAAGACACTAAATCTTACAAAATGGCCACATCTAGTTATGTTCCCACCTCAAACTCAATCCAATATTGTGTCAAATAGTGAGGCATTTCTTAATATTTAACATCATTGTTACTATACATTTACCTACTGTAGATGAAAATAGAGTTATACCAAAATAAATTTGATTTTGCATTCTTTTAGATTTTGCTTAGTTTAAGGCTTTGTGTCTCTTTGCCCATCTCAGCAGGCAGTATAAACAATGAGCTGTCCCAATGTACTCTATTAGTACAAACAGCTGTTCTCCGGTTATTTCTCCAAACTTTTTCTGAAGAGAACCCATCTACTCTCATCAATTTCCCCAACAGTTTGATGTTGAATTTCCAAGCCTTCACTTTCTGTCTCCAACTTTTCCTCCTGTACAAGTAAGACAGGCCCATCTTCTGGGTTTTTAACCAGATCAATTTCTAATACTCCTTCTTTGTCATTTTGTGGGGATTCGTATTTGTCCAGTGGGTGTTGCCTTACTGTTGCGATCTCTTCCTCAGGTGCTGGTTTGATAGGTCCTTTTTCTGGGTCTTCAAGCACTACAATATTGAATTAACCTTTTTTGGCATTTTGAGGGCACCTATCTTTTTCCAGTGGGTTTTGTCCTGCTGGTGCAATCCATTCCTCAAGTTTTGGCATGACAGATTCTTCTGGGTCTACAACCAGGACAATATTTAGCTTGTCCTCTTCAACATATGGAACCAACCCATATTTGTACAGTGGGAACTGCCCTGCCGTTGTAAGGACAAAGGCCAGCGGTAACTTCACCTCATAAAAGCAAGAATGCAAATGCCTGGTTTAGATTCCAATCATGACTTTCTGATGTTTGAAACCCTGATGTTATGATGACATCACATTGGCAGAGTATTCTGTAGCTTTTTAAAAAAATGCTTATCTTTTTTTAAAAAAAGAAACAAAGGCAAAGACCTAATTAATGTGTAAAAAAAAGTATATAACAAATATACACTTACAGGTAGTTTTCAGTTCATATGGCACATACAGGACATTCCTGGATAAGTATTTGGAAAAAAAAGATTAAACTCAGTTGTAAGGTATATAGAAAATGTATTGAACATTAATAATAAATTTAATATTGACAGTAGTACAGTCCATGTCATTTGTTTAAATCTCTTTGTTTTTTGCTGTTTTCTGATTCTTCTCTCCCAGCTGCTTCCCTCTTTTCACCTCTTTGCAGTTTCTGCCCATGATTCAGGGATTTTCTGGGTTTTCAGTCTGAAAAAAGCAAACCAACGACAGGGTTAGGAGAAAAAAGAAACTAAATTTTACTACATCTAGTAACTTACCCCACCGTAAACTAGAACTGGTCCAGTTATTGTACTTTACCTACAGTAGAAACAGCCACATGAAGGCTAACATTCTATAAAATATTTGAATGCAGGTTCTGGTTTATTTTCCTATTTTACACTTCTTAAGCCTTTAAGGCAGTCCTTTTACCTTTCTCCTTGCCAGATATCTCTTAGCTCCACTCAGCAGACAGTATAAACAGTTCCAGTGTACTCAAAGAGAAGGGTCAGCCCTTCACTGCCTCTTTTTGGGACTGAATAGTGCCCACCCTCTCTCTGAGATTTTCTCAACACTTTCAAGTGGGGCATCCAGGATGTTTGCTGTTAGGCCTTTGATTTCTGTCGTAATCTCCTCCTCTTGCACTGGTCCTTCAAGTTTATAAACTGGTCCTTCTACTAGATCCTAAATCAAAACAATATTTAATCCTCACCCTTTTGTACTTTTGAGGGGACTCAAATTTGTAAGCACATTATTTCTCTATCGTTGCAATTCCCTTCCTTTTGTCCTGGTTGCATAAGTCCAGGGCTCAGAAATAGGTTGTTTCTGGTTTGTTTACAATGTGCCACGACATCTAACTTTTTTAGCTGAAATAAAATTTGTCTTTCATTTTTGAGAAAGGGTTTTCGAAGCTACTTTTTGCAAGTGCGGTGAATCACTATGAAACAAAAGATGATGAAGTAAACAACGACAAATAACCAACAAAAAGATTTTTAAAAAGTCCAATACGGACCATACAATCATCTTAAGTATCACCTTTAGGAAAGTCGAATTATGATGCTTCCTTATGCACAACAGATTGAGAAATGCTGCAGTCCTATTGTGAAGTGTTAGTAAACCTGTGTGTTTATAAGGTATGAGCTGAGAGAACTACATTCATCATACTAAGAATCAATAATTTAACTGTCTTCTGTGTTTCCTATGGTAACCACTTCCATGCTCTTCTGGTTGTGACCCACCGGTCCTTTTCTACTCCAGCGCCAGTCTTTTATTTCGGAGATATGGAATACCACGTGGATGAGAGTGACGGCTATGTGGAGGTGCGCGTGTGGAGAACTGGAACTGACCTCTCTAAGACCGCCACCGTCACAGTGCGGTCCCGCAGGACAGACCCTGTGTCTGCCGAAGGTAAGAAATGTCACAGATAGGTAACCATTTAGAGAATCATTATACCACGTTGTCTACATACATTGCATCCCAAAAGCCTGATTTTACACGGGATTTGCAAACCAGCTATTGACACCACAGTCTATCACAGGCAGACTGAAGTATTTTCTCAAAATTCATGTCACTCAATGTCAATTTTGTGTTGTGATTATTTGCAGGCCTAAGTGCAATATTGCAACTATCAATAGTCTTCATGTCTTGATTTGCAGGTGTTAGTGCAATATGAGTTGATTAGACCTGCAAACCTGCAGTGCACTTAGATTGTAACTGTACATTTTAGTTCAGTTTGCAAAGCATCTGTCCTGCACTCCTATTATCTAAAGAAAAGTCAAAAGACGAGTTAGAGTAAAAGCCATAAAGAGTCACTTGAGTTGTCAGGTCAGTGTTTCATTACGTTCTTCACTTTAACATTGTAACATCTGGACTCTGAATTTCCATCTTTACCAGGACATGAAGGAAATGTATTTCCCTTCAAATTTCTTAGGACAATGTTTTGTTATTCATAGCTCACCAGCGCATTGGGCAGACTAAGGTAAAGCCTTGCTCTATAAAAAAGAAAATGACTGCAAGTTAGGGTACATGTGTGTGCTGAAGAATAGTCCTCATTGGCCACAGAAGTCTGGAGTCTTTCAAGCGTTAGGAGAATAAATGAGTGGGAAATTTGTGGGGAATCAAGTGAGCTTAGGAATGCAAACATCTTCAAGTCATCACGGCTTATAACTGCCCTAGGGCTTTGGAAAGGTACGAGGCACAGTGCTGTCAGGTTTGTGTTCTTTTGAATGAATATAGATCCTATGGAATGTAAACTTTTCCTCCTGCTGTGGATTGCACACACTTCTTTTCAGGGGATGAACTTCACAAGTTTGGAATCTGTCTGCTTAACCTCCTACCTTTCTGCAGACTTCAGCAAGCTCCATCCTATCTCCCTCCTTTATAAGGCCCTCTTTTTTGTTTTTTCTATTTCAGCAAATTGAAAATATTTCATTATTTATCTTATCTCTCTAGGTTTATAGGTTCTGCAGGCATAAGCAAACATGTTGCACATTACTGGGTCATAGACTCCTGTGAAAGCTTAAGAATGAAAAGATGACATTAGTGCTGATATTTTTCACTGCTAAGCAGGAAAGAATTTGCTGTGGAAAAAAAAAAAACAACAAGAACCAACCCAACAAAGAAGTCAGGAGTGAGCACTTAATTCAGTTTCACATTCCATCATTTTAGTAGTATCATGGTTAAATAACATTTTTTATCCTTTTTGATTGCTGGCTCTTCTGAATTGTAATAAGAGTACCAAACCCAGAAGAACAAGTATTGGTTTTTTTCCTTGTTGAAAAAAGAAGACAGAGAACACAACGTTTCGGCCATGGAGCCTTCTTCAGGTGTGAGCTCCTGAAGAAGGCTCCTCACACCTGAAGAAGGCTCCACGGCCGAAACGTTGTGTTCTCTTTCTTCTTTTTTTCAGCATGGAATAAACCTATTACTTGTTCCTTTGCAGCCTACGCATTCTGACGCAGCTACCCACCTGAACTACAAACCCAGAAGAATTTGAGGCTTATACTGTAAAATTACAAGAACATTGTATATGAACATCGTATATATTGTATATGTATATGCTTTCTGTAATTTTAGTTGAAGAGCCTTAACATAAAATAAGTGTTAGGTTTTTATTGGATAATACATTTTGAATAGGAAACCTCCAATGGAATCAGTGGGTCTTCCCCTCAGTTACAGTATGTTGGTTTCTTTCCGTTGGGCTGAAAGTTCTACCTGAGGTTCAACACTTAAGGGGATGCTCATTGTCAATAATATGATTGCTGGAAGATAAATGCACATTCTAAGAATTCTTAAAACATTATATTCCCAAAATCTCTTCTGTTTTCAGCTGGTGTTGATTATGTGGGGATCAGCCGGAACTTAGATTTTGCTCCAGGGGTCAACATGCAGACGTTCCGTGTCACCATCCTGGATGACCTGGGGCAGCCAGTCCTGGAGGGTATAGAGAAGTTTGAGCTGGTCTTGAGAATGCCCATGAATGCCATCCTGGGGGAGCCTGGCAAAGCAACCATCTTCATCAATGACTCCGTCTCAGACTGTAAGCTTACATTCTCATGTTATATTAAAGATAACAAAACGATTTTTTTAAGTATTTAAAATAATTCTCCTTTTCCAACCACATGCTATAGGTTTCACAGTGCAGGTGCTGCTGAGCAGCACTGTAACGAGATGACAGGCCGAAACCCAACTGCAGGACTTTGTGTGTCTCCGGAAGATTCCGGAGAGCCGAGTAGTTAGTAGTGAGGCGACTAGTTAGGAGAGATGAGTGGGGAGGCAGGGTGACAATCTGCTATCTCTGCTAAATCGACACTGTAGTAAACTACTGCTTGCAGTCGGGAGAAGAGCGTAGAGTTAGTGGTCTCACGGCTCTAGGGAGCTCAATGCCAGAGCGTCAGGCTATCAGGCAGTTAAACCTTAAAAAGGCAGATCATTCAGGATTGCTTGATTGGCTTCCTGATTGAAAGATTAAAGGAGGAATGAAGAGAGATGGCCTGAGTGCATTCTCCCTGGGCCGTTGGATGGGTGAGCACCCCTGAGAATGGCCCTGAGAATGGCCTGGGCTCCCATGACAACATGTGGCTGCAAACCACTCCTGGACAGGGTGTAATTATATGACATTAAATGACATTAAATGAAAGAATTCTTCAGTTCTTAGTCTTTCTGTATTTAGAGGATACGTGAACATTTCCTTTTACAGTCTTTCCAAAGCATATTACTCCCTTGGAAGTTTAAGCTTTAAAAAATATTTATGTGCTGTAAACCAAAGTAGCCAATTGTTACCATAATGGTCAAGTTGATCTTCCTTTGAAGTTAAAGGTTTATTAAAGGTGTACAGTTTTTGTGATTATTGCATATCAAGTCAAAGCCAGAGTCCTTTGATTTATGACTAATGTTGTAATTAAATTATGCGAAGTAATATCAGAGCCAAACAGTACATAGTGTACAGTAGTTCCCTGTTGATCAGTATTGTAGCCAAACTCTTGTTACAAAATTGTGATTATGTTTTTCACTTACTGTACAGTATATCATGAAGTTTATGTGCAAAGATCTTAGATAAAGGCCTGCCTGCACCAAAATGTATTTTTTATGTATACAAACTCTGTTTTGCTTATATTGTGATATTGTGTTTGATAATTAGCCGTTGCTGTCATTTGTCATAATGAGATTGCGCTGATGATAAGATTGGTAGATGTGCTACTGTACATGAAATGTAGTTGTTATTATCATTCAAATGCCAGCTCTCATCTAATTTACACTATTTTGCTATATTTCAAACCTGGTAAAAACTTTCCAGTTTCTCTTCAAGCTTCCAGTACACTGAATCATAATTAAATTAGTTTAAATGTAGTTCATTTTGAACGCTATAGGACTGCAATTTTTGTCTCTCTGTTAAAGTGCCAAAAGTCCAGTTCCGAGAGGCAATGTACATGGGGAATGAAAACGATGGGCAGATATCGGCCATTGTGTACCGCAGTGGAGACATCAGCTATAAATCCACAGTGCGCTGCTACACCAGACAGGGCTCTGCGCAGGTTATGATGGACTTTGACGAGCGTCCCAACACAGATGCTTCAATCATCAGCTTCTTACCTGGTAATATTTAGCTGCTGAAAAATAATTCAAAAGAACACTAGCGGTGCTTTTTTGTACTATTGATACTTTCGATTTTTTTATTAAGCCGCAAATCCAAGATTCTGTGCTTAATACTGTACATTCTGTAATTTTTCATAGTTATAGTTAAAATCTCTGCCTCAAATGGGTTGTCATTTTCAAGGCCTTCTTTTTGTGTAGAGTTGTTTAATACTGTATGTATGATTAAGAATTTTGTATTGTTGATTTTCATTTTGTCAGAGTCTTCATTCATACAGTTTTGAGTTAGTCTGTATTGTTTTGCAAAGTTATTGGACTTTCTTATTTACAAAAAGGTATACCAATCTACAAAGTTGTACCTGTACTGTATAGCCTTTAATACTCTTATGATACTGTAGTCTTAAAGTATAATAATCATACTCTTATAATATTATGTCATGTGTGTTATACAGTTTAATACCATTGTGTCGCATTGTGAAATAAACAGTATAGCCTTAATTTAACATGAGTCTGCTCTGTGTCTAAGGGGAGATTGAAAAGCCCTGCGTCCTAACCTTGGTGAATGATACGGTCCATGAGGAAGATGAGGAACTCAGGCTGGTCCTGGGAAGCCCCAAGAGTGAATCTCCATTCGGAGCCACCATCGGCAAGCAGAAAGAGACACTCATCAAAATCAAAGATGATGAAGACAGTAAGAGATGCCAGCTGCCTTTGCATATCTTGTCAGACCACCTATGGTAGTTTTACCCTACAATTTAGTACCGTCTCTGGACAGTCACAACATGTTCAGAGTGTCTAGGTTACAAGACACTGGGATAAGGCATGAGAAAGATGGAGAGCACTATATTTGCCTCTTTAAAGGGAGAAGAGAATTCAGAGAATTTCCGACAAACCATTTCTGTGAATTACATTTCTGTGAATTAGACGATTTGAAGTGTGACCTTGACCTACTTAGCATTTCCATGACAATTTAATTTAAAAAATATTTTCCTTTGAAAGGGTTACTTTTATATGAGATAATATATATTTAATCAGAAAAAATCACCAGCAGAGGGGTCTACAGTCATTCATTATTTATCGGTCTTCCTCACTCATAAATTTAATTGCACATCACATTTAGGAGAGCCTTCAACACAGATCCCTTTAGCAATTATGATTTAAATTTCAAAGTAATTCAGCATTATAATAGCAGATGCATGACTTTAAAATGATTTTTTTGTAGAAACATTTACTACCAGAAGAGGCATTCTTTTATCAACAGTTCAGTAAAGTTTCTAAAATAAAGCTCTCAGATTGAATGTGTATGTAATTGTGTACATAATGCGGTTTTGTCAGAATGCAGAATTTAATGGCTGTGTCCGCTGTTTTTTGATGGGTTCTTTATGTTTTTCACAGAGGCCATCATCAAGTTTGGTGAGACAAAATTTAGTGTAAGTGAGCCGAAAGAAAGTGGACAGACGACTGTGGTGAAAATCCCTGTGCTACGTGTGGGAGACACCTCTAAGGTTTCCATCGTCAGGGTCCACACCAAAGATGGCTCTGCAACCTCTGGAGAAGACTACCATCCTGTATCCGAAGGTAGGTCAGCACCTAGTTTCTTTGCCGGACCTACAGTGTACTTCACGTTTTTATTTCATTAGCTGCTGTTCCCAGCTCTCAGTCGCATACATATAAGTAGCATGGTTATAAACTCAACTACCGTTTGTGTGGACCGTTTCAAGCTAATTGAACAAACAGTGACTGAGATCTTTTTCAGGCGACAATTAAACGTCTGCATAATTTTCCAGTGCGTGCCTCTTCCCTTTACAAGAAGCCAATGTTATATGGGTCACACTCCAACTATAGCTCTTCCCATCCAAAAAAATAATTTTAGATCATGGTCACTTTTGTATGTAATTATTTATTTAGTAAGTTAAAAATCTACAAATTTATACCTGCATTATGAATGCTTTTTTAAATGTTAGATTTTGTGATGTATATAGAACATGGTTTCACAGTCTTCACCTAGCTGTGTTTTGCCTGAAAGTATCAACACTGAAAAATGCTTCAGCTGGCCTTTTGTGCCTCTATCACTTTATTTCACAGATATCGAATTCAAGGAGGGGGAAACGCAGCACTTTGTGGAGGTGGAGATTTTGTTTGATGGCCAACAAGAGATGAGAGAGGCATTTACTGTTCATCTGAAACCTGATGAGAACATGGTGGCTGAGACTCAGGTTAGAAAAACATACTGTATACTGTAATGCATGGGCAATAGTAGAGTACTCTGAAATGTTAACTATCTTAGTTAAGTGAGAGATGCAGTTATTTTTACCCTCTTAATTGCTGTTGGGATCTTGTAATGTAATCTGTGATTACAGTAATGCCTATAAATTCATTAAGCTTTTTTAACATAGAAGCTTAATGCTCAATAGTAAGACTACCTGGGAAATGTAAACATCTCAGACTATCTGACTGTTAACTTTTTTTGTGACGATTATATATTAAGAATAAGGGTCTTAAGGGAATAAGGGTGCTAGAAAATGCCCTCACCATTTCAGATAACAATTTTAGCATTTTTGTGAACAGAGGTTAAAACAGAAATATTCACACCAAATGCAGCCAGGAAATGTAAAGTGAATTAATAAATATAGGTTGCCTGTTAAGTCATTTTATACTTCCTCTTAAATACATGCCATATATTTATTTTCCACATGTTTTCACAGATGAGCAAAGCAATCATTTACATTGAGGAGACATACAGCATGGCAGATGTGACTTTCCCTTCTGTGCCTCATGTTGTTTCCTTACTGCTGTACGATGACACAGCCAGATCAAAGGAAAATATACACCCACCTGCGGGGTATCCTGTCATCTGTGTTACAGTAAGTGAGCACAGTACGCCTCCATTGTCTCTGGTGGAGTGAAAGTTGGATTCTTGATTTAAATCACCTTCACTGGCACACCTGAACTCTCAATATAACTGTACGTATTCAGGACAAGAACAGAAGGCACAATTTCAATCAAAGGGTCAAAGTTTGAGTGGTTAAGGAAGAAATCCTGTTTATTTAAAGCAGTGGATGAGATTATTGGATCATTTAGCAACTTGAAAAAAGAGCAAATGATCTCTTCTTGTTTTGAATCTTTCACGTGTTGTTTTGCTGTATTGGTAAGCTTCTTTTTTGGCGTTTGCAAAAATATATTTAAAATATTGATGGATTCATAATTTTCTTCTTAATGTCATTCTAAATAAAGATAACTACTGTAGGTCTCAGCCTGGATCCAATTAAAAATGGTTCTTTTTTTGTTTTGTGCTCAACAACTAGAAGTTTTAATCTCATAACATATTTTTGTGCACACTCCGCATACTGTAGTATTGGAAGGTTTTTAGCTCAATCATGTTTGAATCAAGAACCTTTTCAATTACTTGATTGACCTACTGCAATAATATCTCACGCTCTCACTTTGTTTTCTCTGGCAGGCTTGCAACCCAAAATACTCTGACTATGATAAGACAGGCTCCATCTGCTCCAGCGAGCACATCAACGACACACTGACGCGATATCGCTGGTTGGTGAGCGCCCCCACAGGCCCAGATGGTGTGACGAGCCCCATGAGAGAGGTGGACTTCGATACTTTCTTCACCTCCTCAAAGCTCATCACTCTGGACTCCATCTACTTCCAGGCAGGCTCACGGGTGCAGTGTGCTGCCCGAGCTGTCAACTCCAATGGAGACGAAGGCTTGGAGCTCATGAGCCCCATTGCCACTATCAGTGTACAGGAAGGTAAGGCTGGTTCACACAAGGAACATACCCACAATTCTTTGCACAGTGCCTGGATAGGTCTCTGGTCAGGATGATTCAGTAAGTTACTGAACAGTCTGACTTCAGGAATCAACAGACACCAGCTTTGAAATACTCCTGGTGTTTAGCATGGCACCATGTTCACGTAAGAACAATTGTTTTAAGACTAAGGCTTCTGAGTGCTTCCTTTCTCAGACCATTGAAATTAGTATTTCATATGAAGATACTTAAACTTCTAACCAAACCCAGTGTTGTGTCATACAAATGACAAAGTCCAGGTGTCTGTGTAGTAGAAGTCTCTTTATTACATATGCATATGGGAGACCAGCTTTTAGGAACCAGACTCGAAAATAATATATAGATCGATATACATCACATAAAGTTCATGCAAAGATTAGTGAAGCAAACTGTTAAGCGCACCACCTATATAACTGTGTCTCAATGAGTTTACCTAGTGATACATGACAAACTGCTCAAATGTACAAATAAGCATAATTTCCCTGTATACTGTACATGTCTGAGCGAAAAGTTTATGATAAATATGCAGTATAAGCCTCTTATATCTTAGATCATTTCTCTTGGCTTATTGACAGAAACAAGTTCTGCTTTATGTTCTGGGCATAATGCCAACGTTAGACCACACAAGACTGCGTCATTTGCAAAACTACATAAAATAATACCATTGTCTCACTTGTCCCTTCACCAGTCTAATTGCAGAATCAAAGGTATCATAAAAAATTGGCTATTTTTGTCAAGTGTGTTTGTGGCAAATACCAGAACATTAAAGAGTATTTTTCTAAATACAGTACATATAATGTGAATTACTTCTTAAGTCAATAAAATAGTCCATTTAATGCTGTTTCAGAATTGTTTTGTTTTTTTGGCAGTCTTCTTTAGGTTGCAAAAAACATGTTGTTTCTTTACAGGCATGTGCCAGCCACGTGTGATGGGAACAGTTGGTGCAGAGCCCTTTTCTGCGAAATTGCGCTACACAGGAGCCGAAGACCCCGACCATCCAAATCTCATCAAGCTCACAGTCACAATGCCTCATATCGATGGTCAGACAAAGTTTTCACACAGGCTTTGAAGAATTTGATTGTCCACAGTGAATTAGAGGTCTTTCTCCTATTTTCCCAGACTGCACAAAATCACTAAAACATTGCTTAAAGTAATAAAAGCTCTGTGCCACGGCTCTAGTGTATACTACTGTATATTTATTTAGTCACAGTCTTACTGAGACATCAGTGTGGTTCTATACACAGGCTTTGTAAATAATCAAGTAGAAATATTTACTAGGATGAAACACATTAGCTTTTAACTATTGTAAAATACTATTACTATACTGTTTTACAATGCTATTTAAAATTTTATTGCTGTATAAGTGCTGTCTCTTCCATCTAAACTGACACAATCTTTCTTTGCCTCAGGAATGCTCCCTGTCATTTCCACACGACCTCTGTCAAACTTTGAGCTGACATTGAGCCCAGACGGCACTAGGGTTGGCAACCACAGGTGCTCGAACCTGCTGGATCACAGCGAGGTGAAGACACGTCACGGCTTCATCACAGATGCGTCAAAAAATGCAGAAGTGATTGGAGAGACGTCCCCCTACCAGTACAGTTCAACGCTCAGGGGCTCTGGAACCCTGCGCTTCTACAGGAACCTCAACCTGGAGGCCTGCCTGTGGGAGTTTGTCAGCTACTATGACATGTCTGAGCTCCTCACAGACTGTGGTGGGACAATTGGAACAGATGGTCAGGTAGGTACCCTTTTAGTTTGGTCTCTTTTTCTCAATAAAGACATAGGCTCCTGTTAATGATTGGCAACCCTGTTTCTAAAGAGCTACAGTTCTACAGGTGTGTAGTTAACCTCTTTTTTAATGATCCCTCAGGTAGAAAAGAATTGAGGTTAATATCTGCCAGAGGTCACTTATGGATCCTGAGTTGTCCCAGGAGTATCTCAGATCCAACCTCTGCACTTGTAGTTTGATCTCTGGTAGGGGAAGCTTTTTGTTTCTTTAAGGACTGTGCCCTTCTGCTCTATGAGAACCCTCAAGTGACCGAGATTGCAGATCTGTTGTAGTTGTTTGATGATCAGCTGCTCCCAACACATCTTATAGAGATCATGCAAGCTTTCTTAAACACGTCATAGACACAGTGAATCACTGCCAACTCTGTACTGTAATATCTTAAGTATTTAGAAAAAAGATAACAGTCATTTGGAACATAGAAGGTTTTAATGAACATTAATAATAACTTTAACAATGACAGCATTGACAGTCCATGTCTTTGTTTAAATCTTTTTGCTTTTTGCTCTTTTCTTCTTCTCTCTCAGCTGCTTCCCTCTTTCCAC